AGCCGTAGCATTCCGCTTTGGGATATTTGATGGCAAGTTACTGCTTTTCTCACTCGAGAAGGTACCGGGGTACCAGACACTGCTTTATGATCCTGATGCTCCTGTAGGATCTGAGTGGAAAACATCTTCACTTAAGCCTTCTGGCTTGTGTTTGTGCAGTGTCACAATCAAGGCATAATGGTCACATGCTTAGGGTTCTGTGAATGGTTGTTATTGTACATATGTTCTTCACATTGCATATGAGACCTGTTCTCCTAGTTCTCCTATCATGTCAATTAGGTCTATGAACTCTGGAATTCTTGACTGCATATTCCTGCAAGTTGTGGTGGATTTTTAGTAGCATTTGCCTCTTATCTATTGCATTAAGTTGTTCATTGCTGCACTCAAAACTTCGAATTTTGTGTTATGAAGTAATTGACAAATATTGACTTCATCTGGAATTATGTTTCTAACACAAATCTCTTTTGCTAAAATGTGGTACTCAGCGGTCAGCATGCTTCAATTCTAGTTATTGATTGATATGCGAAGAAATGAAGAAAATTAGAGATACAATTCTACGAGGCATGCATGGAAACTTAATTATTCACAGAGTTGGGATGAGATCTGTGCAAGTGACATTCATTTCTTATTAAATCAAGCACAATCTTTTTCCAAATTACAGAATGTGGAAACAAAAGGAAAATGACCAATGGGGATTTTTGCATTATTATGGATTCTTTTGGTTTGGTGCTGTTGCTGCAGCTGCCGAACTGACCTTTCTTGTTTTCCTCCGCAAACAAGCTTTGTGATCTCAGACCATCCATCATCTTTATCACAGTGTTCTTGTTTTCTACATTGTGAAGATTTGCAAAAATCCGATATCATGTTATGAGTCGGCTGGATTTGGTCCAATGTGATCCAAATGCTTAAGTCTAAATTAATGATAATACACGCATAAGATTATGCACTAACTCATAAATCTTCTTCCACTTTATGATATATTTTGCTTGACTACCTCTTCACAAAGCCTTCTGCCACACTAATCGAACAGTTCTAATTTACTCCAAACGATTCACCAATCACCTTGACATGTTATATTTTTCACTCGAGTGAATCCCAGAAAAATTTCAGTAGAAAAACATGAATCAAAATAAATTTCGAGGATAAATGACAGATGTCATGAAATTTATACTTTCTTATACGGTGCACCGTTTTCATTAAATTCCTTATTCATTATCATTAAATTTCTTCATTCATTCTTATTAAATTTCTTTATTCACTGTGGTCCAAACGTTTCGAATTTAAATTAATAATTATGGTAGTGGAGAAAAACATTCTCGATGCTACAACTATATAAATGAGTTTTTGATCCTCGGGCTCTTATCTCAAATTTTTTAAGAGTTCTCTACACAATAAAGTAAGAATTGTGGGCCAAAAAGTGCTAAAATACTAAAAGAAATTATTGTTGAAATTCTCAACAACAATGACAGGAGATATATAATTTCCGTATTAGTAATTTTTGCATTAGTTTCTTTATATTTTTATTACGATATTTTAGAAACATATTTTGGTCTTTAAATTGACTTACAATTAGCACCTAATGGATGTAGTAACATTGAAGATTGTGTTGCTATGAATCTTTACATCTCAACTTGGGATGGATTTTAGTTGTTCTAACAACTAGGCTGATGGAGCCTTTAGGTTCAAACTATACTGATTCAAAGTATCATCACTAATTCATCATTAAAAAAAAAGAAATGATTGTCACTTTTGCAACAGTCAAGTCAAATATTTTTTCCCTTTTGACTTGTAGAAAAATCCATCCCCAAAGATCTCAGGGAGAAGTGAGATTGATTGATTTTTCTTTTAAAGAAGTGATGAATGTGATAAAGGGGGTAGAAAAAAAAAGTAATAAAAAGGTGTGTTCAATTGCAAGCCACCTTAAATCACTTCAACCTTTTGATGCCTTGTCTTGGGGATTTGTCAGTTTCTGATGTCTATGAAGTCTGGATATGGGTAGTAGTAGGATCAGAAGAAAAGTCATGCAGGGTTTGAAGACTGGTTTTGGTGTCTGCCATGCAATTGCAATAGGAGGAAGATTAGTGTGTGCTTCCAATTAGGAGTAATTAAGACCAACTTAATCATGGATGCAATATTAATCCATAGAGCTGTGTGTGGAGCACATGATAGCCTTTATGAAGAGCATGAGCTGGGCATGTTCTTTGACTAAATGTCTATTGCTTGTTCTGATAAGTTTTATTAATCATCATACAATTAGTCTCTCTTCTCTCTCTCTCTCTCTCTCTCTCTCTCTCTCTTGATAGATGGAAAAGGCAAAGCTCTAATAGTTTGTAGATTACATTGAAAAAAGATGTTCATAAATTATGGCTATATTAGATTTAAGTATTTTTGAGTCATGTAATTTAGATTGATCAAGTTAATATTCAATCATTTATGGGATCAAATAATGGTTATTGGTATGTGGGTGAGAGATTCAAGCAGAAGGAGATGGTGCAACAAAATGTTACCCTCATTTAATTTGGTAATAGAAATCGAAACATGATCCGAAATCAATATAGGAATGAATAGATGAGTCAACCATCCGACTTCATCAAGCATGCTGGATCACATAATTTAAACCGATTAAATTAATAGATCAGTCGTCCCATCAGAAGACTGATGAGATGAGGAGTTTAATATATATAATAATTTTTTATCCCCATTCAAAATATTTGTCAGGCTGTATTCCAATTCCCAACACTAAATTCCTTGCAAATGACAGGAGGCGTTAGCAAACTTGATGTGCCATAGATTTCTCAGTACGATGGCAATCAAACCGATGAATACAGTCACTCGCAAAATGGAATTACGGACAATCAGATCTTCATTTATGTGAGCAGCAACAAAGAACAGATGCGTGTTGTATTCAGAGTACGATTGCAGGGACCAATGAGGACGAGGAGAGACAAAACCATTTGACCTGTCCCGCGAAAGAGAGAGAGAAGAAGCAAAGGTTTCACCTACATGACAACACCTGTTCGCGGAGCCGTTCACGGGACCTCTGCCCCCACTTTCTCTGGATTGATTGAAGAAGATGTGTCAAGCTCGCTCGTCGAGGGCATCATCAGCTGGTGTTGGACCAATGATTCCACCCTTCTCTATTCTTCTGAACCCAATGAGAGAGAGAGAGGCAGACGGTGTGTTGGCCTTTGGGACGCCGAAGAGCCATTTTTAGCTCCGCCCTCTGTTTCATGGATGGCTGCTGTGATCCGAACACTTGCCTTGTTCGGATTGGTCGACCGCAAACTAGATCTGGATCGCAGACGATGAATGTCGAGGACCGGTGTCGAGTAGTTTGCTTGGGGTGGAAGATTTGGGATAAGGCTTGCTTTAGAGTAGACGAACAGTTCAGCTTGAATTGGGTCCACCGGTGCCGTCTCCACCTGCACAACTGTAAAAGCCTCTCCTCCTCCACATGCACGACATTAGCGTCCAATTCATCCTCCGCTTGCCACGTTGACTTTCACATGCAAATCGCATATCTAATTCACGTATTTGTTCTATTCGATGAGAAATTTAGGTTTTTCTCATAAACGTGAGATAAACATTGAATTATTCATTTACGATCTATCTAGTAAGATCTGAGAAGCAAAAGTAGTAGTTTATCTATCTTTACTTGCAAAGATCTCGTGCATTGAGTTGTCTTATAAGATTTGAGAAACAGAAATAATTGATCTCTCTCTATTTTATGGTGTCTTTATGCATTCAGAGTTGGAAAATCACATCTGGAAAGGAACTGAAAAGAGAGTTTGAAGAGAGGAATTTCCTTCTTTTGTTGCTGTTAAGATCAATTTCATGTTTGAGCCCTGTATGATTTGATAATGACAAATCATTGACCATCAAGGTTAGGTTATTCTGTGGTATATGCTAAATGGAGGATCAGCTCCCCATTTTCAAATCAGGAAGAGTTGTTGTCTCAGAGTGTAACCCAAAACGTGATGCAACTGTGGGAAGAAATGGAATGGCCTATTCAAAGCATCTCTAAAACTTCATATTGGTTTGATGAATCTTTTCAATCAAGTCCTATTTCATGACGGCTTTAGAAAATTAAGAATTGAAAGAGTCAGATTGATTAAATTCACTACTTAACAAGTTTTCGGTGTCAAATTATATATAATCTCATATAATAATCATGTCTTTTTGCTTAGGCTTCTTCCTTATTCTTTTTCTTCCTTTCATAAACCCCTCGAAAGCTTTTATTGTTAGATTCCTTATCTTTTTTTTCTTCTTCTTCTCCATATATATCTATGTCTCTCTCTCTCTTTACTAAAGTGAAAGGGAAAGATAGAGATGAGCATCGTTTCTTCCCTCGAATGCCACAAGAATACGATGGGAACAATAGTCATTCTCATTCACACATCTATGTGATTGTATTCCTCCAAAAAAAAAAGCTGACTTGAGGATAACCCTAATCAAATTTTAGAAACTCATCGAGAAATATAAAGTTTAGGAATTAATTTAAAATAGGACTGATAAATAAAGGATTATGCATGTAATGTGATGATTAATAATTGTACATGTTCGAGTCCTTATATAATCATAATACGACTCTTGCTATTAATTAAATGATCTTGATAGGTTATCCGTTTTCATTCATGAACAATGATACGTAACTTCGATTAAAAATAAAATGAGATCAAATTATTTAAGATAATATGAATATTATTAAAAATAATTATGATGACTATCACTCAATTCTTATAGATAAATTTATCAATCACAAGAAGCATCAATCATGGGGGAATTCCACAAACCGATTGATTATTTCCTGATTTCTTGAGTTCCAAAGGTCTTTGTTACACAATCAAATTTGACTTGATTAATCGATTATATATATATATATATACCCTTGATTGATAATGGCACTCCACCACGTTGTGGACAATGTCAAAGACCAGTTATAATACTCGACTCCATGCTTAATGCCATATTCTTGCAACACAAGGAGACATCCAAAAAGTCCAATTGTCCCTTCCTTTCATTGTGCCTTGCTAGCGAGGAAGAGACCACACCGCCTGTCCTTTCCCTACACCCAAGTCCGAAGCCGCCTCCTCCTCTTTCCCTTCTCTCTCTCTCTCTCTCTCTCTCTCATGTTTGGGTTGCAGGCATCAATGGAAATGTATCAGTGAGACTCGAAGGGTGGAAGAGGAAATGACAAGGATTAGATTTCGGTGACGTCTGATGATGATTCGAGGGTGGCATGGATATTTTAGTCCACCGATGGCATCCACCAGGATATGGATATGCCCACCGCTCCATCCGCCTCCCTCCCCGTCGTCCCAAGGGAAGACAAGCTTGTCTTAAGCTGTCCATGGCGAGGGAGTTGTAGATTTGCAAGGTGACATTATTTGCTCTAATCTAATCCACATGGATTCCGTGCTCCGTCCTTGTTTCATTATTTTAGCTTCCCAATTTTTTTCTTTTACCTCCGAAAGGGATGTCGAAGGGGCCACAGATGTCCTCCTTCGATGCCATGGAAGAAGATATGGGCATTAAACAAACCTTCGTCCTGATGCCTGTGACCCCTTTAAATGTACAGTGTGCTTTCGGTGTCAGTTCTCATCTTCCTCCTTTCCCCTGTCAGTTGAACCTGCTCCATTGTAGGCGAGGCGAGCTCAGCATCCATGGAGGACAGCTCGAGTTCATCCCCACCTGCTGCTGCAGCAGTGGTGGTCGATGGAGGAGAAGGAGAGCTTGATCCTGAAAGCAACTCGCTGCAGCAGCCACTGCTCAAGCGAAGCCCCACCCTCACCTCCAGCCATTACGCCATGGTCGGTGCCAAGGTTTCGCACATCGAGAGCTTGGACTACGAGTAAGAACTTTCCCCCCCACCCTGCCCTGCGGTGGAAGCCTGGTTTCCTTCTTCTCTGCATCTGCTGACGTCTCCGCGAGTGCAGGATTAACGAGAACGACCTGTTCAAACACGACTGGAGAAGCAGATCCAGCACCGAGGTGCTGCAGTACATATTCCTCAAGTGGACGCTGGCGTTCCTCGTCGGCCTCCTCACCGGCGTCACGGCTTCCCTCATCAACCTCGCCATCGAGAACATAGCCGGCATCAAAATGCTTTACCTCGCCCGCTTCGTGAAGGACCAAAGTTGAGTTGCTTCTCCTCCCCCGCCTTTCCGTGTTGCGGCGAGCGAGAACTCCTCCGTTCTGATACCGAGAGGAATTCTTGTTGCCGGTGTTTGCAGGTACATAACTGGCTTCGTTTACTTGGCGGGTGTAAACCTTGCTCTCACCACGGTGGCGGCATCTCTGTGTGTCGTCTTCGCTCCCACTGCGGCGGGCCCTGGAATTCCGGAGATCAAGGCTTACCTCAACGGAGTCGATACGCCGAACATGTTTGGGGTGTCGACATTGGTGGTCAAGGTGAGATAGACTGCAGATAGTCTGAAGCTTGGATCTGAAGACGATCCGCAGTGAGATTGGATCCTTCGCTTTCACCTCTGCAGATCATTGGAAGCATCGGATCGGTGTCCGCCGGCCTCGACCTGGGAAAAGAAGGGCCGCTGGTGCACATCGGGGCCTGCTTTGCGTCCTTGCTCGGCCAAGGCGGGTCGGAGAACTACCGCCTCCGGTGGAAGTGGCTACGCTACTTCAAGAACGATCGGGACCGGCGCGACCTCATCACCTGCGGAGCCTCCTCCGGGGTCTGCGCTGCGTTCCGCTCGCCGGTGGGCGGCGTCCTGTTCGCGCTCGAGGAGGTGGCGACGTGGTGGCGGAGCGCGCTGCTGTGGCGGACCTTCTTCAGCACCGCGGTCGTGGTGGTCGTGCTCAGGGGATTCATCGAGTACTGCAACTCCGGGAGGTGCGGCTTGTTCGGCCGCGGCGGGCTCATCCTCTTCGACGTCAGTGACGTCACCGTCACGTACCATGTGAACGACCTCCTCCCGGTGGCGCTCGTCGGCGTGTTGGGCGGCTTGCTGGGCAGCCTCTACAACTACGTCCTGCACAAAATTCTCAGGGTCTACAGCCTCATCAACGAGTGAGCTTCTGTCACGGATTCCTTCCTCCATGGGAGATCAGATTCGATGATGTTTGTTGTTATTGTGATGACGCAGGAGAGGAAGAATGGCGAAGCTGCTGCTTAGTCTTGCTGTCTCGCTCTTCACCTCGGTCTGCCTTTACTGCCTCCCGTTCTTGGCACCATGCACGCCCTGCGACCCCTCGTCGGAGACCATCTGCCCCACTCCCGAGGGAAGCGGCAACTTCAAGCAGTTCAATTGCCCCAATGGCTACTACAACGACCTCGCCAGCCTCCTCTATGCCACCAACGACGACGCGGTGCGCAACATCTTCTCCACCTCCACGCCCAACGAGTTCCGCAGCATCTCCCTCCTTATCTTCTTCGCGCTCTACTGCGTGCTGGGCCTCGTCACCTTCGGCATCGCCGTCCCCTCGGGGTTGTTCCTCCCCATCATCCTGATGGGCTCCGCGTACGGCCGCCTGCTGGCGCTCGCGCTCAGGTCCTTCATCCACATCGACCAGGGCCTCTACGCCGTGCTCGGCGCCGCGGCGCTCATGTCCGGCTCCATGAGAATGACCGTCTCCCTCTGCGTCATCTTCCTCGAGCTCACCAACAACCTCCTCCTGCTGCCCATCACCATGTTCGTGCTGCTCATCGCCAAGACCGTGGGCGACTCCTTCAACCCCAGCATTTACGAAATCATACTCGAGCTGAAGGGTCTGCCGTTCTTGGAAGCCAGCCCTGAGCCATGGATGAGGAATCTGACGGTGGGGGAGCTTGCAGCCGCCAAACCCCGCATCGTCAGCCTCCGGGGCATCGAGAGGGTCGCCCGAGTCGTCGACGTGCTGAAGCACACCAGCCACAACGGCTTCCCGGTCGTCGACCAGGGAGCGCCATCGTCCCCAGCCGGCACAACGGAGCTGCACGGCCTAGTCCTGCGGGCGCACCTCGTAGCGGTGCTGAGCAAGAAGTGGTTCCTGAAGGAGAGGAGGAGGACGGCGGAGTGGGAAGTGCGGGCGGCATTCACGTCGGTAGATCTAGCAGAGAAGGGGCAGAAGGTGGAGCACGTGAAGCTGACGGAGGAGGAGATGGACATGTACGTCGACCTCCACCCCTTCACCAACACGACGCCGTACACGGTGGTGGAGAGCATGTCGGTGGCGAAGGCCGTGGTGCTCTTTCGACAGGTCGGCCTCCGCCATTTGCTGGTGATCCCCAAGTACCAGGGCGCAGGGGTGAGCTCACTCTCTCTTCTTCCTCCACATTTACTTGAAGAGTCTGCCATTAGCAAACACAGCCTTCATTTGCTTCTACTTGCTTCTACAACAACAACACAATAAAATCAATGAAGACTCACCTTCTTACATTGTGTCTGACATGTTTGGAAAAGAATTGGAGTATCACATAGCTAAATATCTAATAAACTAAGATGTCAATTAGCTTAGTCGATAAAGAAATATACAGAATGATGCATAATTCAATATTGATGATCCTTATTATGACACTAATAAATTCTGGTCGATATGTCCTGAAACTAGAAATCATGATTTGGGATGCTGCTGAGTTGCTAATTTATGTTGTTGTGCAGATATCTCCTGTGGTAGGAATTCTGACAAGGCAAGATCTGAGGGCCCATAACATTTTGGGTGCTTTCCCCCATCTAGCAAACAAGAGAGGTGAAGAGGGAAGAAGCAAGAAAGGTGAAGTGGGAAAAAGTGCAGAGTCCTGTGTTGGGAGGAAGTAGCAATCATCAAGTTTGCAGAACATCATGATCATGTCAACACTCCATCAAATTTTTCTACCAGAAATTTTTGTTCTTTTTCTCTTTTCATTTCATGAGAATTGAGGAAATAAAAAGCCACAATTTCTACACGGCATTAATGCCTGTTGCTGGCGCCCACATCTAATCCAACAAGGGAACTTATTATACCGGGCCACAGTTTCATGTAAGAGAGTGTTTTAGAGCTTTTGTTCCATGGTCCCAAGTTGAAGAGTAATAAAGCTGCAATTTTTTTGCCTTCTTTATACTTGTGAGCAAAGAGTAGTGAGTATAAAGACTGATGCCACTTGTCATAGTAACCAGCATTCCCTTGTGCTTGCCACTTCATGGTAAATCCAGATACTGAATACTATTTAATAATTCTTTCAATTTTATCCAGCTATCCATCCAACTTATACCTAATTAATTATTCAGGGAAAAAATATTTATTTTTTTTAGTAAATCCATATATTCAACTCGATATTCTTTTTAATTGTTTGACACTTAGATAAAACATCACTGACCTAATGACTCTTATAAATTATTATTTTAAAGTTAAAAGATATATCACACAGAACCTATTAGACACGCTTTATGAAATTTTAATATAGTTAATAACTATACTGTTGATATTCTTTATAACATCAATATAATTAGTATGTACATATTACTTTCTACAATCCATCATATCATATGCTTTCATCCATAAAAAGCATATGTAAATCTTTTTTCATTTTCTCTATCTTTTTCTTAATTAACTTAATAGATAAGTAGCTTCTGTTGATCATTCAAGCATAAAATCGAATCAAATTATATTTATTTAATAGAGTCAATATTTAGTAAGGTACACAGTGTGACTCCTAATCATTAATACTTAATCTTTGGATCCTCATCCTGAAAATACTAATCATGTAACTTAGTTAACCAGTAAATATTATCCTTAGAAAGTAATTGAAGTTTTTAATCTCCACCCAATAAAAGAAAACACTATGGGAATTTAAGGCTCTTGTAGAGTAATTTCAATTATCTGATGAACCTAACAATCAATGATGCACTTATAATACACTTAGACTACCACAATTTTCTCTTCTTATCAGCTAAAATCTGAAAATATTTCAATCCGGGGGAGCAGCTTGCAAATTCAAAAGAATCACTTGGATGTCATTTGCGATTGGTTAAATCACTCGCCTGATAGAAATGCACAAATAGTATAGCAATATAGGGAGAATGGAAAGAGGATACAAGGCACTAATAAAACAATATCCTGAGTCGATGGGTTCACGGAGGGAAGTATTCTTGCAGTGGATATGGTGGCAGGTTTAGCATGCAATTAATACATAAAGAAAACAGGTTTACAAAGACTGACACAGAAGACCTCCACAAAAGCAATGGTGAAATATTAAAAACTCAGCTGACCCTAATTAGCTAATGATGAGTGAGTCTATTAATACACTACGAAATGCACCATATATATCAATGTTTAGTTGCTATGAAGACTTCTAACATGCAGCAAACCACAGATGAAAAAAAGCCCAAATGCACAAGTTTTGTCATCTTAGTCTGTCTGTTTGAAAATATAAAGAATAGCTCATATTCACTACCAGTCATTAGTTTCTACCGCCACCATAGCCACGATAAGCGTGGAAGCTGCCTCACATAAACAAGGCTACTACTTATCAGTAAAAGCAAACATTTGATTAGGTACAATCCAAATGACACTCATCAACAACCCTGCTTGAATAGCTCACAAAGATATTTGACCTTAGACCTTTCTAAAGATAATTGAAGATACAAATGAAAACCTCCCAATTAATTGTAAACCCAAACAAATTATAACAATATAATCGACCAAGATGATATCATACACCCTCTGAGTCTACAAGGAATCAAAAGAAATATCTAGAAAAGCAACAGGCAGATATTGCACCTTTACTATCGATTTTGTCTACTTCCAAGTATCAGTTTGAGAATTGCAAGCATCGGAAACTGGCACCTGTTTTCACTCATGTGCCGAGCTAGTCAGCAGAAATTGCACTCAGCAAGTACAAAGAAGCATCCAGTGCTCTTGTTGGTTGCCCATTTCTGATTTTAACTTAAATTCCATAAAATCAAAATGCCAATGTCAACCAAAATTTTGTGCACGAATATTTCTTGATCAAGCCATTTTTGTTTGGATTTGCCGGTGGACATGTACAAGGAACTCAACATAGGAGAGGCCTCCAGGAGTTTTATCTTCGACCATATATGACATAAAATGCATGCCTGTATCATTGAGTTTCACAAATTAAATCAACCACTTGTGTATAAAAAATTCCAAACAAAATATTAAACAACAAAACAATATCATGCTTCATATGGTTTCAACTTATAACTGACCTGAGGGATCGCCCTTTCTGCATAGCCTCAAACTGCAGAAAAATTAAAATTTAAGCATGTTTTACAAAAATGGATCTGTTAAGAAACAATGACAAAAGCAAAGCATCTGCTTACCGTAGATATGAACATCTCTGCTTTCGTATCTCATTAACAATGTCATTTAATTTCTTTGACAGATCATTATCAAATTGCTCCAATACAAGCTGCATTGACCAAGAACAGTAAGTAACAAAACATGCTAACCGATTAACAGTGGCAAAGCACCATGTCTTTGGCAGTTAAGCACATGGATAGTTAAAAATCGGACAAATATCCAATGCATGTACTACTTAAAGCTACAGCTTAATGAAATTGTAATATCTTTGATGTATAAAATCTAAATAAACACCCATCATGTTAGTACAGTATTTGAAATGAGGATTGTTATAACATGATGTAATCATGTATTCTGCAAAGAGACAGACATGAACAAGAAAAAACACAAATCAGAATAGACAAAGACACATGCATACACAGAAATGAGCATCACCTACAAGCTTATCCATAAACATGCAATCACAAAATCAAACAAATAGACAGACAAATGGACACAGACGCAGAAGAGTTAGATCATCAGATACATTACTGTCGATGAGCGGGGTAAATCATCTTAGTTAGCCATCAAAGTTTCATCAAGATCATGGATATTTTAATGTTTTCAGCTTGGTGAGTAAATAGAAAGGACCATGATATATAGATCAGTTGTCAATGCAACGAAGCTGAAAGAAACAAATGTTACCTGAGCTGGAAGCCCATCCACAGAAGAAACTCCAAAAATCTGTTGAAGAGTCTCTGGGTTGGCCATGTTCCCAATATAAATCAGGCCATCTTCACCGTTTTCCAGGAGATAAATTCCATCATCATTTATGTTCTCACTAGAAAGAGGAATACTAGCAGGTAAAAGGGATTCATCATCCTCCTGCAGCATAAGAGTAGTTTGAATGCAAACAAACTTTTGATAGAACTAGCTTTAAGTTTGATGTTCAATTTTAAACAACAATTGACCATACATACCTTGGCAGTCAGGTTATGAATTGTTATCATCCTGGGATATACTAAAGGAATAGCCAATGATATAGAAAGTGATGTGACAAGACTAACCCAATAAGAACGATCATCCAACCGCGCATCATTTCGCAACCCAATGCTTTTAGCCAAAGCTGAAGAAAGCAGAATAACAATAAGGGTGGTGATTCACATATGTTACAGAGCAGAATGGTTCTTATTCATGCAATATACACTAAGTATGACAATGGAGATCATAAGTATCGAAATATATAATCCAAACATACTTTAAGCTCAATGGAAATGACCACGATGCTAATATATATTAAAGGTCTCTATATTACATTACTTACCAATGATAGAAAATTTACCAGTTTAAAAGCAAATATTATTTCATGGACACAAGCACAAAACTGTGATACAGATGTGTAACCAATATCCAATTCATTGGGAGAATAAAATGGAGACATGAGACTACAAAAGAAAATTAAAAGGTGTAATATGTAGATAAAATATAATGTCGTGTGAAACTCTGAAATTTAAGTTCAGAAGAAACTTTAGAACCATAAGAGATCCACTTTCTATAAAGATCTAACTGAAAAGTTCGATGAGCATCCAACTTGCAAAAACATGGATGCATAACCAACATAAATGTAGTTGTTGGATGCAGGAATCCATGCCAAAAATCAGTTCTAACCTCCAATAATTGGATATGGTTTGTTAGTCATCATAACATTTAGATCAGAACGCAGAGAGGATAGTCGGCTTATTTTGAAGATTATGTATATTAAAATCAGGATTCCCCTTGTATCCCTCTGTATGTAAGCAGATTAGTCAACAATCCCCTCTATATGGAAGCAGAGCTCAACAATTTCTGGCACCACACAAATAGTTTCCTTTAGAACTTATTAATAAGTTTCTCCCATGTAAATGATATCAACATCAAGGTCCAAAATCTCATACCAGACACATAACAGTTGCTGGTTAGATTGATAAAGGTCCAATACATATAATCATACTGACACAGTATGACAGCATATTGGTTAGCACAGACCAAACAGAAAGAGGTAGAGAACAAGGAGGAGGACGATGACAATGACGAAGCAGAAGGTGGAGAATTAAGAGGAACAATGGAGGAAGAGAAGGCGGAGAAGACGGCAAAAGAGGGAGTGAAGAGGGAGGAGGAGAGAAGGAAAAATAGAAGGTGGCAGAGGAGCAGGTGGAGGAAGAATAGGAAAAGATGGCAGAGGAGGCATATCAGAGGGGAAGTGACAAGCAACGGGACAGGTGGCATGGCTGCGGAGGGGAGAGTGATAAGTGAGGAGAGGAGGGGGGAGGAGAGAGAGAGAGAGAGAGAGAGAGAGAGAGAGAGAGAGAGAGGAGCAAGGGAAGGAAAAGAAACAAAAAAAGGATAATTGACAGATGTAAATGAAAAAAGATATTGGTGCTGGATGCCTGGATGGTAAGCTTACTGATTTTATCTGTTGAAAGGATTTGGCTTACCATCAGTACCAGAGGGTAACCCCAGTCTGGTCGGATCACCAAACATTAAGCCTGTTGCAGACCAAGGTTGAGCATCATGTTTTCTGGTTGGACCAATAAATACCGGTTGGTGCGGACTGGTTCGAACGGCTTAAAAACCTTGATTAGCAATTTAGCATTATGTGTTTTAGTTTCTTGCAAGCATTTGATCACATTATCATAAGAACTGATAATCATATAGCTAAAAGAAACATGCAGTAGCCAGCTTAACATTCTGTGACAGGAACGATTCTTAGAAAATTGAGCTTCATAGACGATTGTGCAAGACCAGGTATTCGTTTTGTTCAAGCAACTTTACCATCCA